CTGGAAGTGTCCAAGGCCAGGTTGGACGGGGCTCGGAACCTGGGCTAGCGGAGGGTGGAACTGGGTGATCTTTAAGGTCCCTTCCAACTCAAACCATTCCACGGTTCCATGATTCTGTTCTATGACCCTCAGCAACAGCAACAACACCACCACAGCTGTGTTGTTGTGTTTTAACAGCAGCTTTAAACTCCACCTGCTTGCGTCCCTCTCACCTCTCCCATGTCTCCCCTCTGGCAGGTGACACCCTCATAGTCGAGGAGGACACGTCCAAGCCCGACCCCGACCCGCCTGTGGTGGCCAAGAGAACCATGTCCCACCCGCTCAGGGAGGCCGTGCCCGTGCTGGCCAGGAGGGTGGTCCCAGCAGACAATTCCTGCCTGTTCACCAGCGTGTCCTACGTGGTGGAGGGCGGCGTGTACGACCCCGGCTGCGCCCCGGAGATGCGGAACCTCATCGCCCAGATCGTGGCCAGCGACCCCGAGTCCTACTGCGAGGCCGTGCTGGGCAAAACCAACAGGGAGTACTGTGACTGGATCAGGAGGGAGGACACCTGGGGGGGGGCCATCGAGGTGTCCATCCTGTCCAAGTTCTACCAGTGCGAGATCTGCGTGGTGGACACGCAGACCGTGCGCATCGACCGCTTCGGGGAGGACGCCGGCTACGCCAAGCGCGTCCTGCTGATCTACGACGGGATCCACTACGACCCCCTGGAGCGCCGGATCCCCGACTCGGACATTCCCCCCCAGACCATCTTCTCCACGAGCGACGACGTGGTGCTGGCGCAGGCCCTGGAGCTGGCGGACGAGGCCAGGAGGAAGAGGCAGTTCACGGACGTGAACCGCTTCGCCCTGCGCTGCATGGTGTGCCAGAAGGGACTCACGGGGCAGCTGGAGGCCAGGGAGCACGCCAAGGAGACTGGACACACCAACTTCGGGGAGGTGTGACACGGGCAGCATGAGGATGGTTCCATCAACTACCTCACCGGTCCAGGATCAGATTCTGGATTCCCCCCAGATAAGCTGTTTTTGCAACCATGAAAAAAAAACTCCGTTCGTGACAAAAAAAAAAAAAAAAAAAAAAAAAGATAGAAAAGCTTGAAAAGCAGAGTAGCAAAGTTAACTTCCTGGTGGCCAGGTTTGGGAAGAGGGGATTGGAAATAGGGATCTCCTCACGTAGCAGGTGGTGGGCAGGGGCAGCTACACCTCGATTCCTGGAATAACCTTTTGTGTGTGGTCTGAGCAGACAGACACAATCGGGCTCAACACTGGTGTAAAATCCACCTCTGAGTTGCTGAGTGAACCTCTCTACGTTTTCCAAGTGATTAATCCAAAGGTTTAGGAAACACACATAGCATTACTTACACTAAGAATTAGGCTTTGCACGTGGGAGCACTCCTCAGAGGAGAAGCTGCTCGTGTAATTGAAATAGCAAATACAACATCAAAATGCAATTTGTAGTAAAAAGAGGATCTCAGAGCTGCCCTACACCATGTCGCCATCAGGAGCAGACTGTAGTTTGTGTGAAGAGAACTTTAGGGAAAGAAGTGGCCTCTAAGCTTTAAGGTAGCCTTCTTTAAATTAATGAGTAGATGGATAAGTGTTGAATAAACCTATTAATCCTCCATAGGTAGTTTTTAGTTGCTTGAAAAAAAATAACTCAACCCCCCTGGTGTTTACACTGCATCAGAACGTAGGCATGTTTTCCTGGAATACTTGGTATTCTTCTTCTTAATAGTATTGGAAATTATGGCAAGAGGGAAATAAGTAGTTAGGGAATTGACTTAATTTGCATCTGTTAAATACATTTAAGCAGACTTTACTTGAGTAGAGCCAGTCATGGCCATAGTGTTACAAAGCTGTTCCAGGTTCCAAATACTGTATTATGAGCACTTTAAGGTTGAGTTCTCACTCTTTGCTGGTAATAAGTTTTGCCCTTTAAAGGCCAGAGTGCTGAGCCAGAAGGGAGGCTTGAAGTTTCTTCATCTGCTTTCTGCCTTAATGTGTTTGTTTTATCACTGGTGACTGTAGAGTAGCAAGACTTTTAATTCTGATAATAAAAGGTGCAGTTGAAATTTCAGAACAAAATAAGCTGTATTTGTACTGTTGAGTATCAGGGAAGATTAAATGGGTTTAATATCTTACCTCACAGTGGGGTTGTGAGGCTGAACTGCAAGTGCTTTTGAGGTCTTTTAAAAGGTGCTGTAAAGGTGCATATTACTGAAGGGGATTTTTTTTTTTCCTTTGAAATGCCTGCAACACATACTTGTTTCTTGAATTTTAAAATATTCTTTGCCTGCCATTTTTCTGTTACTGTCTTGAGTGACCTTCCTTGCACTTTTAAAACGAGGAGCAAGAACGTGCATCTATCTTTGGACTGAGGCAGAAAAAAAAACCCACTTTCCACATGGAACCTAAAATCCAGTTTTAAAGGCCTCCATTCTTTAAGGCACCTGACTAAAGTGGTGCAGCAGAACCACCTTTTCTACACAAAAATCACGTTTCACTGAAGTTCTCAGCGAAAGCTCCCGGTTGGATCTTGAAACACAGGAAGGTCTTAATGAAGAAGAAACATAATTACACAAGTGCTTTTCTGAATTAAGGCATGAATAATTAAATACAAAGACTAGAATCACCAAGAGCACTATGGACCAGGTTTGGTTTTAATTCAGTATTAAAATAGCACTGTTGGAAGTTTCCTGTAGAAAACCATTTAGCTTCCAGTGTTAAACCCCACTCTGCTTTTAGCCTGTCATTAGGAAAAGAAATAAAAAAAAAAAACCCAAAACCCAACATTAAAACCAGCCCTCTAGAAGCTGATGCTTAAAAACCTAAAGAAATACCCGCCAGTTCAAAGGAACTTGAAGATTACACTGTGTTATAACTACTTGAGCTGAAATCCTGTCCAGGAATGAGACCAAGAGACTGTCAATCCCGAGGTGTGTTCCCAGCTTTCCCAGGGAAGCAGTGAGATGCCTTGGGCAAGGAGCTGATCCTCACCCTTTGCCATCTGTAAAATGGACACAAAAAACCTACCTCAGAGAGGTGCACGAGGTGTCTTTGGGTGTCTTTGAAACAGGAGTGGAAGATCCATATTTATTGTCTGCCATGTTTGCAAACGCATTGACTTCGGGGAGCAACACTTAGATTTTAGCTTCGTGTCCTTGGATGGTTTTCTCAAAGTGTGTAAAACATCTTGTTTTTGTTGTTGTTGTTTTGGTATTTCTCAGTTGCAGTATTTTTTCAAATTAGCATTCTTTAATCCAGAGTGTTGAGCTTTGCTGGATCATGTTTGCCTTGGAAATCTGCTGACAGAGAGAATCAGTTCCGTTTGAGGGAGACGTGTCACTTATCACTGCTTGGATGTTTTCTTTTGTTGCCTAGAAAATAAAATCTCTTTGCTTAAAAAAAAAATAAATCTCAACTGAACTTCTGTAATTCATGGCTGTAAAAGTTCACACTGTTACAGGCTGACAGACTCAAAAAACCACCTATGATTTTCCTAAACTGGCCCAAACAAAAATATCTACATTATTTCAAATGTAAGGTCTGGGTAGATTTAAAGTGCAACTCCCTTTCTTTCAGGGTTTGTTTTTTTTTAGTACCTTTTAACCAGGATTTGCCTGCCCTTAATGATACCTTTAGGGAATTATCACAAAAATGACATCCTGCTATTAGTGGGATGAACTTCTGAACATCACTCCTACATTTGCACTGAACTGTGATTAAATGTACAGCAAGATGTTAATTAGGGATATTTTAGACTAGAGCTGGTGTGGGACACAGGTACAGGCAGGGAATAGTCTCACCTGGCAAGAGCAGTCTGGAAAGTCTCTATAATACTGACTTATGTCCTTACCATCATTTCTGTTCTCACACACACTTAAAAGAAGCCTTAAATTCCCAGGTTGCCCAGAGGAGCTGTGGCTGCCCCATCCCTGGAAGTCTCCAAGGCCAGGTTGGAGCAACCTGGGATTGTGGAAAATGTCCCTGCCTGTGGCAAGGGGTTGGAACTAGATCATATTTAAGGTCCTTTCCAACCCAAACTGTTCTGGGATTCTAGGATAAATATCAAGAGATACCTGAGATACCAGGACTCACAGAGAATTTTACATACCTCCAGAATCTTTTATGCATTGAAATGTATAAATCATTAAATACACTTTACAAATATTTGGGCTCAGTGGTACACAGATCTAGTCCATGGATGCCATAGACTGAAACACCAGTCTTGGGAGAAAATCAGTAATACCCTGAATTTCTCAAGGGCAAACCCAATTCCTTAGTTCTGGATGAACTCAGATAAAAAGAGCAGCTCCCGGGGAGAGCACTGAGAAAAGGAACATCTTGTTCCATGGTACAGAAACAGCATCTTAAATCAGCACCTTTCCATGTGCAGGGGCACAGGAGGAGCCACTGGGGACAGTCTGGGGACAGTCTCCTGTTCCCATCCCACTTTCATCAGGAACTGGTGGAGAACATCACAGTGCTACAGTTGTGATCAGTCCTGAGGCAACAACCCACTGTGAAACTGCACCACAGGAACACAATGTTCATTTTTAAAGCTCTCTGACCCAAGCAAAGTTATCTATTTGCCCTTCTCCACCTTAGAGGAGCAGGAGAGGCACGAATGAGAAAAAGCGGAATTTCTCTGCCTGAAACACAGAAACCCACGTGTTGGGGCAGTTTCTGAGAAATCAGACTGACACACAGCCTCTGAATCATCTGTGCTTGGCTGATTTTACTGCCCCTGCCCTGCACGAACCCACCCATGGGCCAGCCCTGCCAACCCCTCCCTGCCAGGGAAACTCTCAATAAGAGGAACACAAAAAGTTCTCAGCTTGCTACTTCGAAAATTACAACCATCCTACAATTAAATGTCTGCCTGCATTTTAAGTCCAACTGCATCCAGCTGCAAAACTGCCATCAGGTTTACTCTGCTCTGGCCTGGACAGAGTAAAATTCCTTCAATTTGGGTGAAATCAATATTGTTTTTTCACCAATCTGAGCACCAGAATGGTTTCTGTAACAGAAATGCAATAGGGAGTTAACAAAATTAGGTTGGCCGAGATTGCAGTTTCCTCACCTATTATTTTTAATTAAAGCCTTGAGGAAAATGTTGGGGAACTGTATTATGCCTTGAGAGCTGCCTTCTCATTTCTGGTGTTGAGTTAATGGCAGCCAAGCTATGGAAACACATCACTTCAGCTCTCTCCCTCTGTTCTGTAAAATAGAGATAATAAATAGAGTTCCTTGACCATATTAGGGTTTAATGACTTCTGTAAACTGCTGTGGAATGGCAGGCAACAGCTACCTGGTATTTTCCATAACTGATTTGTCAGCACACGGGCTGTGCCTGCAATTTGGTTTAAGGAAAGTGTCCAACAGCCCCACAGAGTCAAATAAACGTCTTAAGTTGACAGGAATCTTATCAGTGACGCCATGTGGATGTGTTTCCTTCGGGGCCAGCCCTGAATCATTTGTGTTTATGGACAGGGTGGGGCCCAGCGGGTCTGAGAACGTGCCAAAGTCCTTTCAGGGCATTGTGAAGTTTTCCCTGCATCATTTGACTCCCTGCATGTACTTCGTGCCATATATATGAAATCAGACCTTGTTTTGGGTCAGAGCTATTTATATTCAGTGGAGGAAGAGGAGGAATGTGGAAAAAGAACAGGTTCTTCCTGGGCATCTGATTCAGAGGAGCTCAAGATTTCTCTTAATGGACCATGACACTTTCCTGACCCCCACAGGGCTCTGCAGGCAGCCAGCTCTGCCTGTTTTATTGCACACATTCGAGGCCTTGTGCTGTCAGGACACCCTCACCCTCTCCTGTTGCTCATTCACACGCTGTTTGCCGTGGAATAACAAAATAACTCCTCGTTTTGGTTTGCTCCCCCTCTTAAAGCAGCCTCAGCACCGAGGCACGACTCAGCAAAAACCGGCGAGACCTTAAAACTTCAATTTAAAATTTAAAATTAATTAATCAATTGAAAAGAGTTAATTGATTTTAACGTTTAGCGTTAAAAAGACTTAATTAATTTTAACGTTCAACATCTAAACTCTCTTTAAATCGCCTCACCATCCAGCAGGACACCAGTTAACACCCCCGGAGCAGCTCCACCAGTCCTGCCCTGGCTGTCGCAACGCTCCGAATGTGCCGCGTCCGCATCCCTTCCCTGCTGCGGGCCAGCCTGGGAGAGCAGGAATGGTTGGGGCTGGCTGGGCTTGTCAGCAGCCTCTGGCTTCTTGATTTGCTCCTCGGCACACGTCCCCTTTTGTAACAGCCCCAAATCCGGGCGCTCAGCACCGCAGGTGGGAGCTTCCTGGCTCATCTGCTTTCTTTTCTCTCCGTCTTTAATTAGCTGATGTTTCCACTTCCCTGTTCTGTGCGGAGAAGGGAACATGCGTTGCAACACGGCCTTTGGCTAAAAATACAACTTTAAAAAAAAATAAATCACCGAAGCACAAAAAATGTGAATGAATCCGGTGGCTGTGCCAGTGCCGGAGATTTCCTGCAGGGTTTCTGCTGGGATGTTTGTGGTTATTCAGTGAGAAGCACCTCGCAGAGCAGGTACAAGTCTGGGGGAGGAGAGGGGAGAGGGGGGAGCAACGGCCAAAGCGCTGTTTGTCAGCGAGAAAAGCTCTGATTTTAATAGTAGAGCCCAAAGTCGGGGTAAAAACAAACCACTGCCTTCTCTCAGCTGCCCCTGCAGCACCACCGGGGCAGATCGGGGGTTGGGGGTCGGTGTCACCCTGTATAAGGTCCTGCAGCTGGGACAAACTGGGCTCGTCTTTGCTTTCCCCTGGAGGGAGGCGGCAGAGGTGATACCCTCGTGCTCGGAGAAGGGGATGCTGCCGCAGGAAATGCCTCAGCAGAGTTTCTGAGAATGTATCAGCGTGAAGAGGAATGGACTTGTAGAGGGGCCCGATGTAAGGAAATATTCCAGGAGGGGCAAAGGGACCTGCAAGTCGGTGCTGGCACAACGAGCCCTGGAGAGGCACAGACCTGGGCACCCCCTTCCCTAGCACGTAAATAAAGCTCAGTGGCGAAGCTTCCCTTCCAAAACACTTTCTACCTGTCCTTACAACCTCCTGCCAGCGCACAGCAGCACGCAGCAAACTTTTGGCCTCTGGGAAGCTCTGCTGGTCTACAAGTACATACCTGTTCTAGCACAGTCTGTGTTTTTAAGAGCCGAGAGAAGGAACCGGCTCCTACCCCCCGAGCCTGCGGGACCTCCTGCACAAACCACCTGGGAGAAGAAACCTGTTGTGGGGGTGACGCGTTTCAGGGCGCAAACGCCCAGCCAGGGACGTAATTACCGTGTACAAAGGCTTTTTGGTCAGGGCAGCAGCTCGGAGTGCCCCGAGTGTCAGCGAGCAGCTATGCGGCAGAACAGGATGTCGGATTAAGGAGTCTCCGGCGAAACCCGTGCCGAGGACATCAGAGGACACCCGGCGGAGCAGGGAAGTGAGTGAGCTGGGTGGTACCAGCCCGCAGCCTCCCGGGTGCTGCCTGGGCTGGCTCGGAGAGCTCGGCACGCCACGACCCAGCGCTTTGGGGTCACAGCATGGAGGAGTTTTAGGGGCTTGCAGTGCCCTGAGCCCAGCCCGGAGCAGCAGGAAAGATGCCCTGCGTGGGGGCAAGATGAATTTCTGTCGCCCCGGTGCTCGTGGCTGCAGGTGAGGGGCCGGGGATCGCTGTACCTGCAGAGCTCCCCGCCCGCCCAGCACCCGCGCAGCCTCATCTCCGCCGGGGAGGAGGGTTAATGTGTAACCCGGCTCTGTTTGGTTAGCCCAGAAAAGCAAAGGAGTCCTGGGATAGGCACGGCCGGGACAAGGAATTGGGCAGCACGCGACGACGGACGGCCTGGTAAAAAAAAAAAAAAAGAAAAAAAAAAAAGACAAAGGAAAAAAATACAGATTAATAATAATAATGATCTATATTCCTTCTTGTCCTTTGCTTTCTGTGCTTTTCCTGCTCGATGGGCTGCGGGTTGAGGGGCTGAGCGTCTCTGCCTGGGTGGGATGGGGGGTGCTCTGGGTGCCTGCAGGGCTTTGCTTTGGAAGGGTGAAATGTGGTGGAGGTGTCACCAGCAAAGCTGGTTTGAAGGTGGTGGTGGGAGACAAGCTGGGGAGACCCACAGCTGCTGGGGGAACTTGTGCTCAGGACAGCAAACAGCTCGGGCAGCTGCTGCATGTGCTTAATCTACTTGTTTAAATAGGAGAAACTGTAGATCTGCCACCATCCCCTTTCCCCCTGAGGTGGGATCCATCCTGCTGTGCTGCTCAGAGCAGGAGCAGCTGGGACGGTGCCTGCAAAGGGGGGGTTTTGCTTTCATTTGTGTTTCGGGCTGGCCAGGACAAAGCCAAGGCAGGAGGGGTTCGGCTGCTCTGCCTCAGATGGCAAAACCACCGAGGTCCTCTAGCACTGCTGGAGAGCTGGGATAGGGAGCTTGGAGTGGTGCTGGCTAAAAGAAAGTAGCCTCTTCACATAAAGCAATTAGCATTAATTGCTACCCAGCACGTCTTTGATGTTTGAGGGCTCCGTGGGCTTTGCAAAGGACAGTTATGGCAGCGGCCACGGAGGCTGAGGGAAACTGGCTTTTTGTTTTAGATAAAAAACAGCTTCTTCCAATAGAATTTTTAGTGGGGGAAGAGCTACACAGCTATGAAAAACCAGCTATAAAACAGCTTTTCAAGCACCACATCTTTAAATGCTCGGTCGCATTTTTAGTTTGTGGCTGTTCCTCAGCGAAAAGGAGGAACTGTAAAATCCTTCTGAATCACGAAAACTGGGGGGGGTTCAACACTGATTTTTTTTTCCCCCCTTTCCCGAGTTATGCATTGGAGCCATAATCGCATCAGAGAACTGGTGGGCAGGAAAATGAACTTCTTGTTTTGGTGCAGATCCTCTCCAGCGCCCGGCGAGCTCGGGGCTGAACTTTGCCTCCCCGTGAGCTGGGGCTCGGCGGCTGCCAAACCTCTGGCAGCTGCTTTAGGTCTCTACAAGTACTGTTTGAATGAGAGGAAATTAGTTCTTTAGTGGACTGAAGATGGTGGGCATCCTCATGGAAAAGCTGGCTCCCTCCCACTCAGACACTGCTGGCCCCAGCCAGCTGCCAGCTCAAGTTAAAGCAAGACTTTCACTTCCCCAGAAGTGTTTTGCTCTTTCAGATTTGGGAGGGAGGCAGCAAGAGGCATTAAAACAATCATGGTCAAGCCTCTTGATACTTAGAAGTAGATATAAATCTACAAATCTGTATATCTAATTGTGATATAAATCTAAATTTCACGTTGTGGGCGTTCAAGTGCACAGCAAAACTGTGCAGAAGCCTAAAGTCCCCTAAACTCAGCAGGTATCTGCTTTCTGACAGCTCAAAGCCCTGGCTATGAAGTGATCTGAATTCAAAGGATCCAGGGAATTGCTGTTTCAAAGCCACCACTTACTGCAACGTCATTTAAGCAGTAAATAATGCAAAGCCAAGACTGAAATATTAAACTCCTCCTGCATGGAAGGATTAGATCTGTCAGGGTGTGGGCGTCGAAATCTGATTTTTGTGGCGTATTCCAATTACAAAGGAATTCTTTCAGGGTCTAACGCTCCGAACAAGCAGCCAGTTCTGCTCACTTATCTCTGGATCTAATTCCCTGATCCTGCTACAGGCAAAAAAAAAAAAAAAAAAAAAAAAAAAAAAAAAAAAAAAAAAAAAAAGAAAAAAAGCAGCAGCAGTTTGTTCCTGTGGCCAGGTTACAGCACAAAGAGCTCCTCTGTCTCCCGCCGAGAAAATCCTCTCGCGTGGGTCCCCGTGTGTGGCAGGGGGGGTTTGTTTTGCTGCTCCCATTCGCCCCCGCAGCCCCAGTTCCCTCCTGAAGAAGGGGGTGGTGCGTGTGAAGGAAACTAATTGGTGGTGCCAGGGAATTTTGGAAGCTTCCATGCTTTACCTCCATAAGTAATCACACCTTCCGTGGGCAGCAGAGCTCTCTGCAGGTGTAACTGTCCCCTCTGCCACCCAGGACCCTGTTCTGGGGTGGTTTCGGGGTTGGGAACCTCAGTTCAGGGCCTTTGTCAGGCAGCTGCTGCCACGTTGGGGTCCCTCTGGTGTTTGGGGTCTGGGCTGCATCCAGAAGAGCATCAGGGGGGCATTGAAGTGAGCAGAGGGGACATCGGGGTGCTCTTTGCAACCCCCCTGGGGCAGCTGCATGCCCTGATCCCTGCAAGCTGTGCCAGGCATGTTCCCAAACACACCCAGGCATGCCCTGAAGGTACAGGGGCACCTCCCTGGGGGCACCTCCCTGAGGGCACCTCCCCATGGCTCCCCAAGGAAGGGTGGCAGAGGAAGCTCTTTGCCAGGAGGAAGCTCCTGACAGAGCAAGGATGTGAGTAAACAGCAACATTTCGGGTCAGCACGTTCAGAAGTTCAAGCTGCAGGGCTGGCAGAGGGTGTGGTGGAGGGAAGAGGTCCCATGAGCCAGGGCTGGGGCAGGATCTCTGCTGCTGAGCTCTGAGGCTGAGCTGGGCTTGCACAGCTTTTTCCCTTGCCTAATCCACCCCTCTGAGACCCACCAACACGAGCTGGCTGTGGACGGGCTGTTCCAGAGCTTATCCCATCTGGGGAAAACATCAGTTCGAGGATGCTTTGAAACAGCCCAGCTGTGTCTTCTCCTAGAGAGAGCAGCCTAAGATGGAGCACATTTATACCCATCCAGCAGCTTCAGAGCCTCCCTCCAGCTGAGCCAGGGGGGAATCTCACAGCTTAATGCTTCTCCTTTCTCCTGCTCCAGCTGGGATACTGCCCCCGTGCCGGACGCCACGGCAGCCCAGGATATGCCCAGGAAGGAGCTGGGGATGGCTGGCTGCAACTCTGGCAGCTGTGACAGCATGGTCAGCACGGCCTCCAACCACTCACAGCGGGTAAGTCACCCTGGTGTGATCAGCTCGGGCATGGAGGGGCTCAACGCGCCCCTCTGGGCAGCTGAGGAAGGATTTTGGTCAGATCTCTGCTCCAAACCTCTCTCCATCAGTGCTTTGGAAGCACCTGGGGGCCCTGAGACAGCACCGTGCTCAGGGTAGCACAAGGACCAAATTAATCCCTGCCCCAGAGCACTCCCAGACCTCCCATCCTGCCAGGGGTGCGGCAGCACTCGGGAGCCTTCGCTCCTGAAAGGTGTCCTTTGGGACATGACCCCGAGAGCCCAGTGGCTCCTGTGCTGCCCAGAGGTGCAGATGGAGGGCAGGAGGGGCCTGGCCATGCCCCAGTGAGGGATTAGACCAGTTGGATTACTGGGTCAGACTGGCTCCAGCAGGGGAGACAGCGAGCTGTGCTCCTCCCAGCTGCCAAGAGATTCATTTCCCAGTTAAGGCACAGAGGAGTTTGGACCATGGGTGTAGATGTGTAATTTTTCCACTATCTGTCCATTAAAGCTTGTTTGTCTCCCAAGACTGATTCCAAGATTGATGGACTAATTACATCCTGTCTGACTTGGAGCATAATTGATATGTGGAAGTGCAGCACTCAGTCCTGACAGGTTTTCCATTTGATGTATTGCAAACCAGAACCAAACCCTCTGAATTTAATAGGGATGGAAAAACTGGTTGTGATATTGCACGGCAAAAGATTTGGATAAGTGTCTCTGCAAAACAGCTCCACCTGGGATAATTCCTCCTCTGTGTTTGTTGATCTGATGCACACTCCATCCTGTCCTGCACTTCATTTTCTTTCATGATATATTGCAGGAATCACCTTGTAACCTGGCATTTCCACAGCAATATCTGATATTACAATATCATATCTCCTGGTACTCGAAATACAACAAAAATTAAACAGGGTCTTGCTGAGGTTTGAATGGCAGAACAAGGAGAGTTCATCACCTGCACAGAAACCTTCAGTACTTAGGATTTTTCTAAGGTTCAGCATTGCTGAGCAGGACAGGTGTCTTTACCAATAGATCACCCATGTCACCCATCTGCTCATATTTCAGAGTAAATTAAAGAACTAAAAGGTAGAGGCCAAGTTTTCAAGATCAGAATAACCCATCTTCTGACACACAGAGTGGGGCAATATAAAAATGGCTTTAAGTATATATATATATTTCTATTTTAGAGGAAGTTGTATATATATTTTTTTTATATTTTTTTGTCTATTTTTCAGTGGTTGCAATACCAATTTTTGGAATAGCCACTGGCCCAAGTCTCCTGGCCAGGAGCTGTCACAGGCTCCTCTTAACTACCAGGACATTAAACAGAAAACACCTTTTTAAACAGAAAACACCATTAAACAGAAAACACCTCTGTCTCTTACCTTTATGCTTTATGTTCTTTTTTCCAGAGTGATAACAGCTACGACTATTTATCTGTGGAAGAGAAGGAGTGTTTGATGTTCTTAGAAGAAACCATTGGCTCACTGGATGCAGAAGCAGACAGTGGGGTCTCCACTGATGAGACTGACTATGCAGAGCCCTCCAAGCTGCCTGGGACACGGCCCAAGAAAGACCCCATGGGCCGGGGTAAGCAGGAAACCCTTCTCCAGGATTTGTGTGCAGAGGGAATGTCTCATGGGGGGCATTCCCTTGGCAGGGATGGGAGGGGCAGTGCCCCAGTTTTATGTGTGTGGTGAGGCACAGCCAGGTGATTTCCATCACTCGCTGTGGGCACAAACTGCCTTCTCCTGGTTCTCCTGGGCAGCTTTGGAGCAAGGTCAGCAGGACCACAGGGCAGAGCACCTCTGCTCATGCTCCCAGCAGGCTCACACAGATTAACCTCCTTCACCAGGTGCTTTGTCAAACCCAAAGTGTGTCTGTCTGACTTCCCAGGCAGTGACAGGTCAGTTGGAGTCAGGGTGAGCTGTGCTGGCTCAGTGGGTGTGAAGTGTGTCCTGCAGACAGGAAGGTGCCCTGAGCCCATGTGTGGGATGGTGTGTGACTTCATCTCTCTCTTTCCCCAGATTTGGGAAATGGGGCTCCCCCTCCAAGCAGAGGTCAGCGTGCAGCTGAACAGAAGAGTGGCAAGAGCATCTCTGCCTCCTCCAGCTCAGCTCCAGCGGTGGTTCCAAGCCCAGGCTATTTCAGTCTTCCAAGGAATATCCCTGCAGCAAACAGAGCTCCTGACAGCAAGGTGATTGTCCACACGGCGAAGGACCCGGTGCCAGGACAAAAACCTTCACAGGAGGACAGGCTTGACCAAGCCAACACAAGAAGCCATGTGAAGTCCATGGGATCTTTGATTATCCAACCTCAAGATCCCTTCCAGGATGACCAGGTGACCCACGAGTGGTCACGCAGCAATCGCTCAGATGCCAAGGGGGAAACGGCCAAGGAGACCAAGACTTGGACTTCATGGGGCCAGCCAGAGAAATCCACACTGGAAGAGGCCTCTCAGGACCCTGATGCCAAGCGAGGGCCTCCAACTGCCCCCAAGCCGCGAAAATTGCCACCAAATATTATCCTGAAAACCAGCAAAACCAGCCCGGTGCCGCTCGCCACGGAGCACATCCAGAAGGTAAAGGCACCACCTCCACCCTCAGGTGGCTCTCAGCCCAGCTCTGCCAGTGATGCCGCTGCTGAAAAGGTGAACCCCGGGCACCTCGACCCCAAGGAGAAGGAGAAAGCCCATCGGGAGGCACTGGAGAAGCTCGGACTGTCACAGGACAGGAGGGAGCCCAGCGCCCACCTCCAACCTCCCACACACCCCCAGCCAAGGGAGGCTCCGCTCCCCGTCCCTGGGGAGCCCGAGGCAGCAGGAATCCGACAAATAGCATTCAAATCCAACACCCTGGAGCGCTCTGGAGTGGGGCTGAGCAGCTACATGGCCAGCACCAAGGAGCAGAACGCCAAGAGCAGCAGCTCCCTGGGCAAGATGTCCTTCATCGAGCGGCTCGCCCCGAGCTTCCTCAGGGGCGGCCGCCCCCGGCCCGTGTCCCTCGTGGCGGGGAAGGACTTTGCTGGCCTGAAGGAGCAGGGGCAGGTGGAGCAGGAGAAGAGCAGCAAGAGGAGATCCCACCCTCTCCCGAGCTTCCCGAGGCCCTCCCGCTCCGCCGTCAGCGTGAAGATCTCCCCGAAGGGCACGACCGACGAGAACCGGCGCGAGGCACTGAAGAAGCTCGGCCTGCTGAAGGAATAACTCCAGGGGCTGGGGGGAGAGGGGCTTTTCACCCCAAAATCCAGGTGCCTGCACTGCCTGTCCCCTGGCAGGTCACTCCTCTGCTGTGCTCTGCTGCTCTGGCACCTCAGGAGAGGCCCCCGGGCGTGTTGGAGCTTCATGACCAGATAAAGTAATGCCACATGTACATAATATTTTGTACATAGCAAGTGTATATGAGCTATTTATATAAAGCATCACTCGGCATGTGGGCAGGGTGTGTTCTCCTACAAGGTCTGTAATGCATTTGGGGATCCACTGAAACAGGGAAGCCTTAGAATTAGGGGTTTGGCTTGTTTTAAAAGGGGTTGCCTGTGGATAAAGCCTATTTGGGAAGAACTGCAGGACTCTGCTGTTCCTTCAGGACTTTTTGGGGGGTATTTTTATTACTTTTATCACAGCCTCTGAGGCCTGAGCGCTCACCTCCCACATGCAAGTGCCTCCCAAAACCACCACTGCCACGCACAAACTCCAACAGGCACTGGAAGGGGCTCAGCAAAGCTCTCCCTCACACGGTGTCTGCTGGAGGGGCTGGAGGGCTGCCCACACATCCCACTGCCTCCTCTGCCACCCTGCTCTCCCACCCAGCCCCAACCTGGATCTGGCACTTGGCAGACGTATGAACGTCATGAAGTGACTGTTAAGAAGCAACAGGCTGTGTTGGTGTCAGATCCAGAAGTGCTGCCCAAAAATGAGAGAGATGCAAGTCTGAAACAACACCAACTCATTCCCTTTCAAACTCTCCTGGCATCTCTCAGCCCCAGCTGATGCTGCCAACATCTGTGCTGCTCACCTTTTGTAACAGAGGCGGTTTATTTCTCTAATAAACTTGTATATGATCAGAAAATGACTGTGTAGTACAGATTTATGTTGCAATCAAAACTCTGGGAAAGCTAAATACCGCTTTTTAACCTTCAATATATCTTGATTTAAGGAGTGTGAGTCACCCAGGCAGCAGCTGGGCATTACAGCTGATGGGTCTGAACCAGAGGCAGGGGATCCTGCACCCCAGGAGCCACAGAGATGGGATTCTGTGTAAGTGCACAATCAGCAGATGCAAAGTCTCCCATGGCAATCCCATGGAACAGCCTGGTCTGGTGGAAGGTGTCCCTGTCTAGATCAGGGGGGTGGAACAAGGTGAGCTTTAAGGTCCCTTTCAACCCAAACTGTTCCGTGATTCTCTGACTCCTGGCTCTCCCTGGGAGCACAAGGGGGGAATGTGGAATACCTGGTGCTCCTGTGTTTACTGGCAGGCTTGAACCAGCCTGATGTGCAGCCAGGCAGCAGGAGAGGTTCCACCCAGCCCTGAACTCCTCGGGCTGGAGACTTTCAAGTGCAAATGATTGACTTTAAAGGCAGCAAGAGCACTGTCTAAAGAGGAGAGGAAGATGTAAGGTTAAGCCCCAAATAAAGGGGTCAGCCAAGCTCTTGCGTGGTTTAATGGTACATTTTCATCCATGTACTCCTCTCCTCTCACCATTCCATCTTACCCACAGCAGATTCCAGCTACTTAATGCTCTGTCTCACTGCTCATCACTTGCATAATGCAGATACATGACTGCTGCAGACTCAAAGGTAACCTCACCTCGATTATCTAATGAGAAAGGAGGAGAGCATTCAGGTCTCCCTCAAAGCAGTTTTGGCCTGAAACAGAACCTAAACTTTTCTTAAAACCAGATTGTTTTGGAAACAAAAGGATTCTTTTCCAATCCTTGGTTTTAGTCAAAACCAGAATGTACTGGAGCTGTGAAAGCTGAGTTTTGATCAGATTTCCAGGCAGAAATCTCACTTCCAAAGATTGCTTATTAACCTGTGATGGGGCGGAGTGACGTTCCTCAACAGGGGCTGTGCACATTGGAATGAAATGCAAACAAAAGAGGCTAAATGAAAACAACCTTTAGCCACCAGGAGATCAGGGTCATTCCTCTGGGAATGAACTCCAAATCTGTGCCTTTGCACAGGGTGAAGTGCTCCTGCTGCTGCCAGACCCTCTGGGTTGGATCACTCACCATGGGCAAGCCCTCTTCCAAGACTCTAAAGAGCTGACAAGTGTACCCTCAATGCCTTAATGCAGGTTATACAGACTGTGTTTATGTGCCACAACGATGTTAAAAAAGACCTAAAGAAAACACTCAGCTTTGCATTTTGCACAGAATATTCATCTGCTTCTTAACTATCAGTCCTACACTGGCTCAGACATATCATTTCCATGTCTACATGAGCCTGTCAAGACCTACTATCCCAATTAAAAGCATCCTGGTGCTCATCTTTCATTACAAAGATAAAATTCAGGAGAAGTGGTTTGTTAAATTCTGGCAGTCTCAAAGAAGAACATCATCTGTGCTGGGCCACAGTCTCCAGGAGAAATCATTCCTTAGCCCAGCTCATCAGCCCCGAGCATCACCAGGGCCTCTCTCATCTTACAACAACCAACCAAGGCAAATCCTGGTCCTTTGAAATGAAAAAAAAATTAAAAATCAGTGTGGCAGACTCAAATTTAGGAACAACATTCCATGGAAATTGGTGCCCTTCCCTCAGCCAAGGGTTTGCTGACATGCAGAGCTGCCCCATCACATTAAGATGTGCCTGTGCAGGAGGTGACTCCAAGCTCTGCTCCCATCAGGGGGACACCTGTCCTTTCCCAGGACAGCCTAGTGCAGGATTGACACAATATACTCTGTGTTTCTCTCCATTACCTTCTTTAAAAGAAAAAAGGCAGCTGTACCCCCAAACCTTATCACTGCTGCTCCCACCTGTGCCACCCTTGGTACTGGAGAACCAAGAACCTGCAGGTACAGAAACCCAGACAGCAAAGACAAGCCCCACCAGAGGCATTCCAGCCTTTTCCTGCCAGCTCCTGCTGCATTAAAACAACCAGGGTTTCTCGCCTTGGGTTTGTTTTGCCTTATTTGCCAGTGATGCAAATTTACCTGATAACATCTTAAAAACAAAACTAGATCCAGCATTCCTCGTTCCTGCTCTTAAAACCCGTGGGTTCAGGCTCAGGTTGGCAGGGCAGGGGGGTGAGGACACTGTGCTTCCCCGAGATCTCTTTGTTACCAAACACCCTTTAACTTTGAAGTCCAGGCAGTGACAGAAAGGGGCACTGTTGTTCTTTGCACAGGGATTTAAGTGCAGCAGGGACAGATTTGGCTCATTTCTCATTTCTCTCCCTCGCTGGAGTTTAATCATTAACTCCTGCGGGCACCCTGGAGCAGGCAGGGGTTGTTCCCATTTATTAATTACACCTCTGGCTGCAGAGAGGCTGTGCTGAGGTGCTGACAGCAACCTCCACAACTGCTCAGTGGACACACACGTGGGCCTGGAGCTCTGGTGTGATCCCTGGTGCTGCCACGCTGCTCACACGGAAAATATTCACCCGCCAGCACGTGGCTGTTATAGGAAGGAAATTCCCTTAACAAGCAGAGCCCAGAAGAATAAATTCTGTAAAAGTTAACTCTCCTTTAGCAGTAGAAGGTGCAAGGCAGTGGTACACCCTCAGGAGGGTCCTTTCCATGTGCTGCCATCCCTGCTCCCAGCTGCCTTGGAAACGATGCTGAGAGATCCCCTTGTTGCTTCCAGTGTTGCTGCCCCTGCTGGATTTATTTTCTTTTTTGGTTTGAAGGAGAGGGGTCCTCAGATGTCCCTGCTCCAAAAGCTGGGGGCACCTTGGGGACCTTGTGCAGAGCAAGGTGAGTGTTCCCACCCTGGACAGGTGAGGAAGCAGCACACGGTGGTGTCACAGGTCAAGCTGCCTGTTACTACCCCTGAAAATCACCTCTGTCAGAGCCAATCTGCCTCCACCCAAAATAAATCTTCAGAGAAACCCAGGGTGTGCCCAAGGCCAGGCTGGACAGGGCTTAGAACAACCTGGTCTAGTGAGAGGTGTCCCTGCCCATGGCAGGGGGTTGGAATGACATGAGCTTTAAGGTCCCTTCCAACCCAAACCATTTCCATATATGATTCTATGATCCTATAAAATAGCACTGAGTAGTCTTAGGAGGTTCCCTAAGACTATTTATTATATTCCATTTTATTACTAATACAAGGACAATTCTATGGTTTTGCTTCTGGTGTGGTAATAAATGTCCTCAGATAGATTAGTTGGGCTGAAGCCCAGCCAGTATTGGGGAGTTTATTGCACAGGTTTGGTACAAAACACAATTGCTGCAATATAAGTAATCATATCACGATAAAGAAGGCAAAACCATTCAACAGAGATTTATCTTCAGGCAGGGACATTCCAAAGGGCTTCAATGATTGTTTTACACAGAAAACAGTCTGGCCTTCAAAGCCTGTCTGCACCCAAGAGGGGAAGAGCAGAACTTTGTACCCTTCAGCAGAACTAGGGCAGAACAAAGTGGTTTCCACCAATCTCCCTCTGAACCCCACACACTCCTCACACACTGAAAATCCTGGAGACACACAGGGTGCTGGAACCAGCCCAGGGCCTTCTCGGAAGTGCCACAGGTAGATTTTTGTTTGCAATAAAACATTTTTATCTGAAGGAAAAGCAGAGCAAAGTCCCTCTCAATAACACAACCGTGAAATGCCTCCATAGCTTTGAGGATATCAGCAGGTCTGCACCTCTCTCAATTAAGATTATTTGCTCAGTGCAAAAGAGGAACTGTGTGTGTGCAAGAACAAACCTCCTTTAGATCCATCCCCTGTGAGGCCACAGGTGTGGCCATTACCCCAAAATAAACTGTAATTGTCACAAACATACCTGGGTTTTGGTGGTACCTCTGCAGAGCTCTGGGTTTGGTGCTGGATGATGGTGCCTTTCCTGTGGCAGATTTTAAGTGTACAATGGTTAGAATGCAGCAAGATTAAATTCAGAGAGAAATCAGGCAGGGACTGGCAAGGCAAAAAACCAGAGAGACAAACAACCCAACTCTAAAGCAGGAGCTTAAAAGTTAATTTTACACACCTGCAAATGGTTCCCAGAACTTAGCTGGTGCTGGTGATGATGTCCTTGTGGGAGAAGCATCTGGACATGCTCTGTGATGAACAACAGGGAAGAGAAAAACCAGACTTGAAATGTTGGTTAAGCAGCACTTGTAGCAGCACAGCTTCACCACCCACTTCATTCTTGTTGCAGGGACTGTTTTATAACAGGGGTTGAAGCAGAAACCACCTTTTTGTCCTGGATTCATAAAAAGCACAGGATCAAAAGACAGGCACGAGCTACATGAAGCACTTGGGTCCATTCAAACCACAGCAGTCTGAGGAAACACAAGCACTGAGTTCTTCCTTGATGTGAAGTTCTGCCTGGAAGTGGCTCAAAAAACACAACATTTTACTATAAATATTTAGAGACAGGTGTTTCATGTTAAAGTATTTTGTCTGTAGAGCAGGGGAACTCCTCTCAGACTCTGGCACTTTCTGCTCCTGACCTCTTCATCTTTTCTTTTTCCCCCTTCCATGATGTCACCCATGTCATTATGGCTAAAAATGACCATTTTTGGGTTCCATCCTCAGTATATTGGTGGCCTCTCTGCTATCCCTCCAAGCATTTTGACCATCCCCAGTTTGCTCAGCAATGCACATCTAGGTTTGAAAAAATTTTTGGTGCACCCATTTTAAACTCTGGACATCAATATATGAAAAAAAGAATTAAACATCAAGAGGTGAGCAAAGACTAACTAAGCTGCAAAAAACACTTTATTAAACTAAATTCAAGTTGGAAGCAGAGCAGGAGAAGATTTCCAGCACCAGAAGCACCACAATCTAAGGTAGGTGAGCCTCAATTTGCCCTTAAAATACTGTTGTTTAAAGAACAATGTACAGTGATTATATGGGACACTTTGAGGGACTTCACCTGTGGTGTGTAACAG